AGAGCTGATGAGACTCAACAACAACAAAGAAAATAATCCAGTCAAAAAATGGGCAGAAGAGCTAAAAAGAAACTTCTCTGAAGAGGAAATGCAAATGGCCAACAGGCATATGAAAAAATGTTCAACATCACTTGTCATCAGGGAAATGCAAATCAAAACTACCATCCTACACCAGTGAGAATGGCACATATTAAAAAAAAACTAGCAACAACAAATGTTGGCGAGGGTGTGGAGAAAAAGGAACTCTTCTGCACTGCTGGTGGGAGTGCAAACTGGTCCAACCACTATGGAGAGCTGTGTGGAGATTTCTGGACCTACTAAACATAGAGCTTCCATATGACCCAGCAATTCCACTCCTAGGTATTTACCCAAAGGACACAGAAACATCAATTCCAAAGGGCACCTGCACCCCTATGTTTATAGCAGCACTATTTACAATAGCTAAGCTTTGGAAACAACCCAAATGTCCAAAAACAGATGACTGGATCAAGAAGATGTGGTACATATACACCATGGAATATTACTCAGTATTCAAAAAAGATAAACCCATGCAGTTTGCAGCAACATGGATGGAGCTGGAAGGGATCATGCTCAGCGAAATAAGCCAGAAAGAAAAAGAAAAATACCGGATGGTCTCACTCATAGCAGGAATCTAGAAAACCTAAATAAGGGACCAGGAAAAAGAATAACTATAAGAAAGAAAAAATAAAAATCAACAAACAACTATGAACCAGAGACACAGTATGGGGGGGGCGGGGAAAGGAGGGCTTGGGGTCAAAATAAGGGGGGTGCAATTGTATGGGGAATGTAAAAATAAAATTTTAAAAAAAAGAATGGAGGGAGACATGTTGTACACATACTACCTGCTAGAGAGAAAGAAGTCATTGCAGACGGAATGCTCAATTTCATCTGGAAAAGAAATACTTCTCAACTTTTAGGTTCTCAGAAAAACAAGCTTGGTCCTTAAAAAAAAAAAGGCAAAAGTGGACAGAACTAAAAGGAGACAAAACCTTTAGAACCACACAGCATAGATAGAGAGACAGGATTCTTTCTGAAGGACCCTCAAAGCCTCTCGGGGTTGCCTGGCAATGGACACAAAATAGAAAATAACTATTTCCTATTTAAGTGAAGTGGGTCCAGAAAGAAGATGTGGAGGAAAAGGAGCTTTCTTACTCTGCTGTTGGGAATGTTGGTCAAAAAGTAAATCTCATCAGATTTCAAATGCTGACTACAATGTAATGAGTAAACAATTCATAGCAAGCTAGAGAAAATCCATATGCTTAGAAATTAAGAAACATACTTCTAAGTAGCAAATAATGCAGAGAAGAAATCATGAGAAAATAGAAAATATTTAGAATGGAATGATAATGAAAATAAGCATATCCAAATCTGGTAGGGTGCGGGGGCACACAACTCTAGGGAACGAAGTAGCCTCAAACACACATTAGAGGGGAAAAAAAAAACAGGGAAAATTGCTGAGGGGAGCATTCAATTGAAAAAGTTAGAAGAATAGCTAAATTCATTAATTCGACAAATATTTACAGAGCACCTCCTATGGGCCACATGCTGTTCTAAGTGATTACAGCTGTGAACAAGACAAGGGCATGGGGGAGAGGACAGAGCATGGGGGGCTGGGGTTTTTACTCTGAGTCAGACGGTGCCAATAGCAGGCTCGAGCACAGAACAGACCCAGACACCAGTGCAGGCTGAAGGAGATCAGGGAAGGGCGAGAGGGACTGTTGTAAGAATCCGGCCAAGAGCCAACAGTAGCCCACAGTGGGACAGTAGCGGCCGAGTCAGTGTTTCTATTTTTAGGGTAAATTTGGCAGGGGTTTCTGATGGATAGGATACAGGGTAGGAGAGGGATGAATCAAGGATGACTACAAAGTGTTTGGCCTGAGCGATTAGAATGAACTGCCAGTTCCTAAGATAGGGATGGCAAATTCACTCAGAATGTGCTCTAAGTTCGAGAGACCTACACTCTGACTGACAGGCGGTTGATGTCTCACCCCAGAATTCAGAGGAGAGGGCCAGGTCAGAGACACGTGTTTGGGTTCACGGAGATGACATTTAAATCCAGGAGGCTGGATGGAGTGTGGGTGGAGAGGAGTTCTCAGGTCTGAACCCTGAGCTCTTCCAACACCAAGATAACTGGAGGGGAAGAGGGAAGCAGCAAAGGTGGCTGAGAAGTGGCCCAGTCAGTGGCAGGATGTGCTATTCTGGAAACACAGAGAGATGTTGAAGGGGGTGAAAGTGATTCCAGAAGTGGAAACCTGATGGCTTGTATGGCTATAGGGAGTTGCATGTATATGGCCTTCAAACATTCAAACGTAACCCCGACAGCATTTTATTCCACCAGCTTGGCAGGCAAGGCAGCTAATTTCATGCTGGGCAAGGAGGAGGGAACATTGCCGAGAGCGTCCTTTCTGCGGCCATTTTAGAGCAAGCCCAGCAGTCCTGAGCAAGAGAACGTAAGCACCGAAGATGTGCTAAATGTAAGATGTACTGGGAAAGCAGGGAGAACCCAGGTCCAAGGGGTATGGGGGAAGAACTTCATTCCAGCAGAGTGCTGGAAGCAGTGGAGTTCCCCCTCAGAGAGGCTGGGGAAGTAAAATTTGGTGGAAACATAAGGTAGAATGTAGTTTGCATCAGAAACAATGACCAGATGTAAACCCAGCGACGTGAATGCAAATACATCCTTAAAAATACTACACAGAATGAGCTCTCTGGCTCAAAACCATTTAGGAGACACACACAAAACAATACCACATACCAACTTTCCTAAGGACATATATTCAACTCATCAGACTTGGCTCCTCTGGGAGAGATAGGAATGTGAATGGAATGAAAGAATAAAAGAGTAAAATAAATCAAGAAAGGGTATGGTATGAACTTGAATATGATTAACCGTCTCTGTGCACCTGAAATTCCCACTCCTTCCCCCCACACCAAAGTTTCTTCTCTTGCCTAAATCCAAGCAGACTTAATAGTTTGAAGGATATATACTGAGGGCTTATAGCAGTTCTATTGAGTATAAGACGGGTGTGATAACTGTTCATTGTCTCCAATATGTACACTTCTCTTGTTGCGTAACAACACGTTTCTAAGCCTCCTTTATGAGTGGGTACATTTATATGCTTAACTTGTGACCAGTGTTGTATGGGACTTCTGGGAGAGCTAGTTAAAAGGGAGGAGGCATGTGCCATTTTATCATCCTCCTTTACTGGCTTAGATGGTGGGCATGATGGCTGGTGCTCTGATAGCCATCTGGTACCAAGAGGTGACTTTAGCCACATTCCTAGAAAGATAGGAGAACTGGTATCCTCATGAGCCATGAAACTGTTCTACCAGACTTTGATTATCCATATCCAGCCTTCTATTACATGAGACAGGAACACACATCTATCTTGTTTAGAACACTAATACTTTAGATTTTTCTATTATTTGGAGCCAAATATCCTAAGCTATAAAGTGGTTCTAAACAGACACCAGATTGGAGAGCATTTCATTTTTACCTTATCTGCCATTTCTTAGAAGAAAGGTTTCCTGGAGATCCTTATAAAAATGCCCCTCTGCTTTTTCATCTATTTAGTGTCTTTCATCAATTTAGTGTCTATTGAGATTCATTTTAATTTTTAGGATGTTTTTTCAATGACAGAAGAATCATATGAAATAAAGTATAAAGTGATCTGGGCTAGACCTTGCCGTGAAGCAGAGATTGGACAAAAGGCCCATAAGGTTTCAGTGCAGGGCTGGTGATACCTTGTTATCCCCACTTTAGTTGGATGTGTACATTAAACAAATGGATACATCTCAGGGACTGGGGTCTTTGCTGCTGGGGAGCTGACAATCAGTGAGATAATGTGGACAGGGCTCTAAGGCAGCACTTAGATAAATTGTATTATTCAGCACAGTAACTTGATGAATAGACTTGGAGGATGTGGGGGTAATCTGGAGGATAGAACAGCTCCCCATTGAATGGGAGGTTGACTTTACTAATTGGTGATTTTTCTTCCTCTTAATTTTGTATCTTTTGATTTCTTTGCATTTATTAAGGCCTTTTCCTGGCTTAGGGAAACAGGTTGGGTAACCATAGGGAAGCATTAGCATTAGTGACGGTGGCAGGTCTTGCTAAGCCAAGGAAGTATCTGGAATTAAAATGCTTGAAATTACTCACTGAATGGTTGTCCTAAGTACGGGGCTCATCAATGCTCTTTGCTGCACACAAAACTCCGTTCTAGGTTGACAATTTGGGAACTCTTTTGCCTTAGCAATTCATACCCTTGCAGATGCAACTTATTTAAAAAATAACTCATATGTTTCATTGTTACCAAAGAAATACAGCCCACTGTAGAATGCTAAAATTTGACAAGTGAAAACAAAAGTCAAAGCAACAACATTGACAATTCCATCTCTCTGAGGATAACAATTCATAAACCCTTGGTGTAGTCCTTTTTATACCTCCTTCTAAACAGTGTGGTATGTCTAAGTAGGAGTTTTAGCTATAAAGGCAGCAAAATCAACTTCAATAATAATAAAAGCAATAATTGATAAAATAAAGGCAAACCCTGGTAGACTTGATTGGTACAACCAAAGTCTTATTCTTGACATAGAGTAACAGGTAAGATCTTTGTTGGTCTCATTTCGGGAAAAAAGACAAATCACACAAATGGACATTTGAGGGACCTATGTAGACAGATGGAGGAGATTAAAAATCAACATTTGTAAATGTCTAAGAATGCTGCCACGAAGCTTCTGGGAAGATGCTTGTGACTGGTGGGTGCAGGTGGAAGCAGTCTAAGCAATGAGGAATCCACTCATTTAATTTGGGCACATTTAAATGAAGGTCCCAGGGTGGCCCTGGGCTGGTGAGTGATGCTCAGGGAAGGTGGTGGCCGCGGGATGGAATCCAAGCATCAAGGACAGCTCAGCCACGTTGAGGTTATTCATGAGCAATTATATATATCTGCATGCTCTTTAAGCTCATGTGGCATTACTTTGACACCCCATTTTCAACACCCTAACAAGTTTCAAATTCTTCAATAGCAAAGAAATTACAGATCAAACTCCTGAATCATTTGTAGCCATTTTTTTTATTCCAAACATGTATTTTTGTAAACCTGCATTTCCCAAACAGTGAATTAGAAGTGACTGCTTACACTAATACACGTGACGTTGTGAGGAGGAACACCCCACCCACCAAAATTCCTCTAAGGAAATGTACAGGATGCATCAGTCAAGTTCTGGAAGTGAAGTTAGCGTGGGTGCCTGCCATGCAATTAATCACTTTTAAAGCTTTTTAAACTCACTCTGCCAATCACACTGTGCACATTAGAATTTAAAAAAGACCTTAACAAAATCTAGATCATTGTGCTACAAAGCATTGCACCATGTGAGAAATTTGTTCATTATCCCCTCATGTGCTGCAAATCAGATGACATTCTAGAAGGTTCATTTTGGCCTTCCTGGCTCCATAGCCTCCCTTCAGCCATTGTTTGTTCCAGAAAATATTCTCCAAAATATATATTATTGTTCTATATAGCAAAACAAAACACAACTAAAACCCTGCATATTGGAGTATTTCTGACATGACTCATTTTCTGCTTTTGTCTGCTAAACGGCCATCTTCCCCTAATGACAATCCTTGCAGTGCCTCTAAATTTTGGGAAGTTTGAATCAGGTGTCCATTTCACCAGGTATACATTTCACGTGTAAGTGAGGCCTAAATGTGATTTACTGGCCATAAGACTATCCAAAAATAAAAAATGATTAAAAAAAATCATTCTGCTAGGGTCCAAGAGGTAGCATGCAGCCCACATATCACTGGGGGGATGGGAGGTGAAGGGGGGTATACAACACTTCCACATTGAAAACAGATCCCAGGTTTTCCAGGAGAGTGCTGGCCAGCTGGCCAACTGGTTGCTTTTAACCTCCTTCCCTTTGCCTCAAGGACTCTAGTCCACACATGATTTGATGGAGGACTTTCTATTGGATCTTCTACAAAGTTTACCAAACTTCAGAATACTCCAGGTGATGCAGATACAATTTTCTCCAAAAACACATGGAAAGCCCTGTGATCACAGCAGGAAGTGATTCTGGAATCCGCGCCTGTCAGTCACCATGAGGCCCATGCACCCACTCCCTCTTACTAGTGTCCCCTTGTTCCTAAATGTCACGGCCCTTGCTTTGCTACAAGCCCAGGACTCACTCATCCAGAGGATGTGCCAAACTGACTGAGTCCCATGTAAATTGAGTACATGCAAATCATGTTTGAAAAAGGAACATTATTTTACTCTATAAAAGCCCCTTTTTCATATTTAAAAAGCACCTCAGTCCTTCTGACAGTTGGTTAAAATCATAATGAATACACAACTTAAAGCTGAAGCAGATGGAAATAGCGCTGTGCAAGAGAATATCTTATAGGATCCCACAGTGACCCATAGAAGCAGAGGGGTGGAACTAGAATGCACTGTGGAATTGTAAAAGAATATTCTGGAGAAGTAACCCAGACACACCAAATCACTGTCCGCTTCTCTTGAAAGACTGTTGAAGTTTTCTGATCTGGATGAATTGATGAACTGCTAACGATGTGCTTGTCTTCTTTCTCCATCACTGTGCTAAATGCTAAGTCCCTGGTCCATGTAGCCCTCCTGCCACTCAGCATGATCAGACACGCAGAGGCATCATCCCTCCTCAAATAGGTTCCCAGAGAGGCTGCCAGTATTTGCTCCTAGTGAGGCCAAGTAAAAACTGCCTTATGAAGCTTACTGATCTCCTAGGTGAGCAACTACTTCATGCAGCTCCACCATTATGAATCAACCAGAGGCAAATGGATCCTGGCTTTGAGAATGCTCATAGGAGTCTTCTACCAGAATTGAGCCTTTCCCCCCTGGCTGGCAGAACTGTGGACATACCTCTGAGTTGTCCTTCACGTCACCTACACATCTGCATCCCTTGTAGGAGGTTGGTGAGTGGCTAAACATGCAGTTAGCCAAAGCTGCCAATGGAGCTGTCCCAGGTCTACTGCCTAAGATTGCTAAATGATGGATTAAATGACAAGGTGAACAAGAGTCTGTCAAAGAAAAGTTACCGATGGGGTCTCATAAAAGAATCTACACTCTATACTCTCTTACAGGACAGTTTGCCTCCTCCAGGGAAAATGTGCCTATGGCTTTCTCTGGGGAACCTCCAGTAACTAGCACCAAACCCCATGCACAACAGGGAGCCCAGAAACAAGTCAAATGAGTGACTAGCCCCTACTCAAGACTACCTTTATTACTTGTGATAAAACTCACAGGCAAACTCTGAGTATGAACTGGTTTCTTTGCCTGAATCTGAATCTGTGCCTCTGTTCCTCAACCTATGGTCAACTAGACCCTTTGTTTCATCTACTCCTGTGTTCACAGGATGGGAGGCAAGATACAGTCACGATATTCCTCTACCAGTCAACCCTCTAATAAGAAGCCAAAGACACACACATTCCATGCCAGCTTTGCGACTGCCCAGCACCCTTGAAAATTTGCCAAAACTTTAGATCTGTTTGCAAGTATTAGTTAAGTATGTGTATAAAACACCTGTCTCCCATGAAGTTGAGCTCTGTGACTTTTCAAAAATGTTCACAACTCCTCACCCCCCATCTTGTTAGCTTCAAGTATACAAGAAAGATGCTTGGTCTCATTTTTGCTTTGTTCTCATTTGATGCCATCTGTATGTAGCTGGGGTTTGAACAGGCTATAATGAGCCATTTAGAACTCTGCCAGATTCTGCTCTAGCCTACTTTTCCCTCCCACTGTTTTCAGCTGGTTATCCAGCAATGGTAAAGACACTCAGAGGTGCACAGTTATTGAGTGTCCACTACAGGCCAGGTGCAGTGCCTAGCACACTGCCTCCGTCATCTCATTGCCCTTTTAGAAAATCACATTGCCCTCGAAACTGGGCAGCCCTATTCATTTGATAAGAAACACCATCAAATTGAGAGCTTGGTACCCAGACCATAACTCAGCATTCACACACGCAGAGGACAGGGGAGGATGTCAATGCCATGCCCAGGTCCCTTTGCACCATTGCTGTATGCTCCCCTCCAAGCTGGGGGTGCAATTTGCCATTCTCCTTTAGAGAATACTCCTCAACTATGGGAACTGTTCAGCCACCAGGAAGTGAGAGTAGAAAGCTTACTTCTCCTCTGGGATCAAGAATATGAACACACATCTCCTTAGCTTCAAGTTAAGACAACTTGGACACATCACTTACTCCCTCCCCCCAGAACTTCCTTGCAGGACAAGCTGAAGCTATCCTCAATGCACCCTTACCTGACTCCCTCCCTTTTCTTGTCCTGCACTTCACTAGTGGCACCTGGGAACACTTCTTTATTATGTCACTTGCATGCAAATCCTTGTCTCAGAGTCTGCTTCTTAGGAACCTCGCCCAAGACAGTACTTTAAGAAAATCAGAAGAAAACTGCCATTGCCAGTAGCTGGGACAGCAAGAGTGACAAGGGAAATGGAGGCCTCTGAGCTCAAATGACCATGAAAAGGCAACACATCACAGCATTCAGCCACAAGTCTTTGCTAGAAGACACTGATTTAGTCCTTTCAGCGTGCGCACTCTGATGCGTGATGTCCAGGATGAGATGGCATTTTGAGGTTTACCAGATGACCCAGTGGCATTGCTCCCAGCTTTCATCTCTTGATCCAAGAAGCAGCAGAGATGCCTGCTGTATGCAGGTGACGTAGAGCAGATTTATTGCTCTGATTCGGGTTTTTCTGTCCACATTTCTGTTGGGAATCTTCCAATGGAAGGTACTTATGAAAAACCACACAGTTCTTTAGCACATGATTTCAATCTCAACTCCAGGCAATGTGAAATGTCTCAGAGTCTTGCCACATCCACAGTTTATACACAGCCCTGCCAGCTGGCTGGTCTGATGACACAAGATTTCTCTGGATTATTTCTTCCACAAGTCTTTTTTGAACAGCAAGTTCCAAAGTACAGTAAGATATTTTTCTTTAAAAATTTGTATGAATGTACATGTATTTCCAAGGTTTCAGACCAGATATCAGTGCTTGAGTGAATTATATAACTATTTAATAGAAATAATAAAACATTGATACAAATATAAAGACATAATCAGTATAAAAGGCTTATATTTATAAAAATACTTTTAGGTAACAGTTTTCCCCTGAGGGTTGACCACGCATGTCGCATCCATAAATATTGCTTGGCTCTGTAGTTTGCTTTCCAGAGCTCAGAGTTCATCTTGAAAAGGAAGTGGAGGTGGCTCGAGGCATGGGACCTGGCCAAAGTGGCTGCCTCAGGTGGGCACCTGGGCGTGAGAAAATGAGGAAGAGAACAGCATCACTGGGGCCTCCGAAAAATCTGGAGAAGATTCTTTCTTCCAAATATGGAAGATACAAAGATCAAGGACAACAGGCGGAGGTTAGGTCATGAGACTGGCGTGGTGGGTCACTGGTTTTTCTGGGCCCAGTCCCAACTGTCCCCGTTCTCTTTCCGGTTTTTCTCAGCTTCTATAATTTCTTTGTACCTTCGGCGGAAGAAGCCCAACTGAAAGGCAGAGAGAGAGGAGAAGCAGGTTAGACATGCTGGAATCTGTGGTTTTTACCCCAGGGCAGCCTGGCCTACGTGGAGCGTGGCCCACATTCAGAGTACCAGGAGGGGTCAATGGAGAAAATTCCTCGGCACAGACCGATTTAGAAAAAGCATCACGTGGAGCCTCTTTTTAATACACATCGACCTCCTGTCGGCTGCCTTCTAATAACTTGTTCCTTGTAAAGTGCTTCCGGCAGAGTGTTTCCCAAGCTGTGTGCTGGGGAACACTGGTTACTGAGAGTTATTCAAAGGAGTTTGGGAATAAAAAAGGTTTCATGGCCAAATGCGTTTGAGAAACATTCATTCTTTCTTTAAGAGACTCACAGCATAGAGCAGTGAAGGAGGTGAGAGATCGAAGGACCCAATGTTTCTGGATCTTAATCAGCTTTTGAGAAACCTATTGCTACCCTGAGAGATATTAGCAATTGTGGAGTGATTTGATAATTACTGCTGTCACGTAATCTGCTTTCGATTGCAGGCTGCGTTTGCCTTGCTGTCTTCTAGAGGGTTCTCTGAGAGCTGTCAGCCTAAGCCGCAGGGGCACCACGGCCCGCAGTGTGGACTTCCTAGGACTGTCTCCTCCCGATCCAGGATGGCAGTTTCCTTGATCTTAGTTCGGAGACAACCTTTCCTTCTGATGTCATATGGCTTTTCACAAACAGAAAAACCAGTCTAGCTTTTTCATACAGTCATCATGGACCGGACACTGAACGCATTTTTGGTTGCACAAAGCTGTCCTTTCCTCCTGTGCTCGGCGAGACCCGGTATCTCTGTTACCAGACACTCCTCCCTACATCTGCCTCTAAACATGGCCGTCTGCAGTGGGTGTGCACATACTCCAGCTCCTTCTCTCCTTGGCTGTGACAAGCCTGGGGTGCATGTGGTACTGAGCTTTCCCAGGGGAGCTTACCTACAGTGTGCACTGTTTGATAACAAACCCTTCATTGGCTTCATTTTCTTCCCCCTCTTGCTTCCCTGCTCCCCTATCAATATTTCCTGATGCCACCTTGCCCCAAAATGACTCGCCTTCCGAGTCTCCCTTCCATTCCTTGAATAAGGAATTTCAAACAGACACACCTATTTGGTCCGCTGCCAGCAGCACGGTTGCACGGCAGGTTCATGGTGTCACTGGTCCTTAGTTAGACTCCCAGAGTTGTACTGGAGAACCTACAAGACTCGCAGTCTCTGCTGCCCACAGCAAATGCATATGTAAAAGCTGCCCCAAGTTGATCACTGCGCTAACCCAGTTCTCATGGGCATATAAAACTTCTGCGTTATCTGTGTCTTTGTCTTCATGCTCCTTCACCCTGATGATCAAGAGCTCGCCCAAAGCAGTGGCAGCAGGAAAGGCATCAGAATTGCCTCGCTGCACCATCTTGTCACCTCCTAAATGGGGGCTTAATGGCCTAGCCAGAGATGAGACCTGTCAAGTGAGCCTCCAGGAAACACCTACCCACATTGCCAAGGAGATCTTGAGCATTCATTTTGAGTGGAGTCAGCAAGGTTGATGCAGTTTGAATGACTAGAAGGAGTCGTGACTTGCAAGGGCTGCCAGTTCTAAGCCTCAGTCCCTGTGGCCAGTTCCATAGGCAGCTATCCAGTTCCTAGTGCTTGCAGCTCAGCACAAGACCACTTTCTGACACCTGCGTTTCTCTCCTCAAACACTACCACTCTCTCCCCTCTGCAAGGGATGTGGAAAGAGGCCTTGGCCTGAATGTTCTGGATAATTAGGAAGAGGTCTTTGCAGCCCTGAGTACACCCGCAGAAGGCCAGGAAAGCAACCTAAGACTTAATGGAAGTGTCTAATTAAGAAGCTACTGCTTGAAAGGTCAACCTGTAAAGATAAATGTGTGGTCGACTGTGTAAATATGACCTTGTGTGCTCATTTCATACGCTGACTATAGTGTGGAAAGAAGATTCTTCAGCAGATAACACTGTTGATGGTGTGACATTTCAGTAATTCCAGGTTACTCATTTTTAATTCCAGAGAAGTAAGAGGTATTTCCTGTGACACTACTCAGGCAGAATTTAGCGATGGCTCCTTTATTAGCTTTGTCTGGGACTCCTTGAAGCAGGATTTGGGCTTTTAGTCCCGAGCACTCAGCATCTCATCTGTACTTGGTACCAGCAACAAATTGCAAAAAAATGCCTACAATCCTTCATTCTCCTTGCTTCCAAACCCTCTACGATGTGACTTTGGAGCAATTCCCATCAGGTGGTGGGATCTATCTCCCAAACCTGAATCTGCACTGTGACTTGCTTTGAAAATTGGACGCCATGGAGGTGATGCTGTGAAAAGCTTTTTCCTCTCACGTGGGGTGGTGTCAGTATTAGGCCTGAAGATCCCTCCCCATGCCCAGCCCACCCTGGGCGCGGCCTCAGTGCCGGTAGAGGTGCTCTCAGAAACAGCTTCATACTCCGCTTACGCCAACACAGCAGGGTCTCAAGAGCCCTGTTCCCAGCACAACCTGGGTGTTGTGTATTGGCTGAGAAGCCGGACTACCACAAATGTTTGCTCTCTTTGGAGCCCAAAGACCATTTCCTAATACACAATCCACTCCCATGACGAGGGAGTGCCCGGTACAGTAGAGTGGGAGGTGCACTGCACATGAGGGAGCTGCTCACATCCCAGATAACATTAAGCAGGCAAATTTATTATGACTAGTTCCAGCAGATGGCGGTAGAGTGTCTCTTTCTAACAAAATCAGTCAATTTTTCAGAATTTTCTGACAGATGGAAGTAAAGTTTCCGGTGGAAGGGGCACAGGGCCATTTACTAATTTGCCAGAGGTGCCATATGGTCTACCTGTGACTGCGTCAAATTGATATATTATTTCTTACATAATTAAAACAACTATTTCAGAAAAGGAGGCTATCACCTTTGTGCTTTTGTTTAGAACCTGGTTTTGGCTTTTGATAATGAGCCCACAGACCAGGGCTGGGTTTACGAAGCATGTGTACTTTCTTTGGTCACCCAAACACCCGTGTCCTGCCAGGTCTGCCCAGTGCCACAGGGCCTGATCAGGGGGGCTGTACAGAAGAGACATGTCTCAGGGAGTCCGAGTCCTAATGACTACTCACACTCCAATTAACTAGCCCAGGTCATGTTCTGGCTCAGAATCCTGTTGCTTTCTCCCAAGGGACCGACGACATTCTCAGACTGTTCCCAGCTCTGAATTACAGTGACTGCTTTTTCTCTCGGTCCCCTATGCAGACTTGGGACTGCAGCCCGTGGGGCACCCAGCTGTGTGTTCAGGGCCCACACAAGGCACAGAGTCCTTGCTCCATGACAACTTTTTGCAAAGAGGTTTTGGAAGACTGAACTTTCAATTTTTATGTAATGTCTATTACTTCACTATAAAAGCATATTAAAAAAAGTAGATTAAAGATATATTATGAAGGATAAAGAATGATAATATTCTATAAATTAGGATTACTACAGACTTCCAAAACTTGTCTCCCCGGCAGCAGGCCCCCCGTGGCACACACCTGCACTCACTAGCATTCATAGTTACTGTGGGAAGTGCTGGGCAAACTTATTTTTGCTGCCAGCTAAGCCCATACTGAGGTGATGGGAAACGCTCAGTGATGAGTTCAGCTGGATCCTCAGCAGCTCCACACTCAATTCCAATCCAATGGAGTCAATGTTTTCCTGTACTTTTTTCTGGAAACTTCCAGGGCTTGCTTTGCCACTTGAGGGGCAAAAGGTTCTGTTTGTAACTATTCTGTCTGTAGCAGAGGAAACACTCATGGAAGCTCTAGAGAGGAGAGGCTCCCGCCAAGCTTTGCTCAGCTGCAAGCCAAGGGAGCAGTGCGCCTTCTGGCTTCGTGTCTGTGCTGGTCCTGATCAGGGCTGCAGCCCTGAAGACCAGCTCCTTGAATCCTCCTGACAAATTTACACAATTTTCTGATATAAACTTTCATCAAAGCACTGCCAGAATACTCCCAGGGAACCAGCAGATCTCCCCCAAATAGCCCTAATTAGGGAAGAGTTGCAAAGGCATGGGGCCTAAGAGGAAATAAGGCCTGGCCAAGTTTTGGGGTCTGTGGTCCTGCTGCACCAGCATTCTTCCCAGCTCATTTTGGGGTGAGTGGAGAGCTGGCGACTTGACTCCATGGGGTCTTCACCCCATGGAGTGAAGCTCCCTCATCTCCTCCTCCTGGCCTTCAGGTTGTCTCCTGATCAGCCATGCCAAAGACCTTGGACAAACTCCTTCTTTGGACTAACTCAGGGTCTTATGTTTATGGATGTCTTCAACGACTTTACTATTTATACAGCATGTCTCTGTCTGGGGATGTCGACAGCACAACATCAGCCCAATATTTACTTCCAAACATAAATAAGCCCCCACTGAGTCTGGCACATGGTTTTAATTGCAACAGTGCGAAGGATGTTTGTGTGTGCACGCACACGCGCCTGTGCTGGGCACTCTCTGTTTCTTTGAGCTCTCCTCCAGAGGACCGACCTCAGAGCCTGGTTGGAGGGGAGGTGATAACCTCAATGACCCCTGGAGGGCCTGCCAAACCTTACACATTCTCTGAGCCATTTCACAGATTTATTTTTCTAAGAGTTTCTGCTTGAGGTCAGAGTAATGCTCACAAATGAAAACCAGGAGCCCAAAGCCAGCTCTGAAGCAGCAGGCTCCTGGAAAAGACCCAGCTGACAGAGGGTTCAAGACGGGCAGCAGACACACGGCAGCCTGGCTCTTTACTTGAGAAAGGAAAGAGCTAGCAGGTCCCAGGCCTTCAGAGAAGGGCCGGTCACAGGCTGCCGGGCAGTGCCAGAGGCCCTGCCCTTTGCTCCAGGCTCTCTTGGCTTCCACCAGGAGTGAACGGGGGAGAGAGGAAGGGCTCCTAGGCTGAAGCAGTAGAGGAAGACACAGAGTTTTTCTGCTTCATTGAGAGGTGGCCTGTGTGTTTTGGCAAACTGCACAGGGCAGGGGGAGAGCCGTGAGGAGGGCGTGGAAGGAGAGGAAGGAGAGAGAAGCCTGGGGCCCGAAAAGAGGCTTTTTCTTCTCAAGGAAAAACTTGCCAGCATCTTCTCTCTCTTACCACTGTACTCAAAGGCTGGCTTAAGGAGTGGAAGGAGCACTTCTTAAAGGTGAACGTCACACGGGAAGAGATTCCCCACTCGACCTCTGACAGTGGACCTTTCTCCTCATAGCCAGCCTGTAGGATTGTCTTAAAGAGGTAGTGGGCGCAGGCCCAGGCAGCCTCAACCCCAGGCAGGAGCTAAAGGGAAAGAGAGGGGACTCATTTGGATTTCTCTCCCCTAAAAGAGTTTCAGATTTCAAAGTTTTCTCCTGCATGGTGGTTTGGCAGGCTACTGTAATCCTCACACATAAAGTTTAAATTATGGCTCCCAGTGTCTGCTAACATCCCGGCTTTGGGAAAGCTGATTAGGATCCATTTCAGTATGAAGAAGGGTCTGGTTAGCTCGGGGCCCTCATTGTGGATTTTGCACTGGAGCCAAGGTCTGCAGCCGCCAAGCATGAGGGAGTGACTGGGATGCCAGCGGGCGGGTGTTCCGTGGCTCGGGGTCTGCCCAGAGTCAGGGGCTGAGCGAGGAGGCAGCTGAGCACCAGGCAGCGAGCAGGCAGTTTGTGTAGGAAAAGGCATTTGCTGAGCCTAAAGGGGTTTCTGTTTTAGACAAAGAGCAGATGATGGGTGGGTGGGTGGGACCACAGTGATGTGGGGCTGGTGACACAGGCACCCCCACCTGACCAAGTCCTCCTCACTCCTCAGGGTGTCTTGGCTTAGCCACTGCCTCTGCTTTCCCCAGAAGCCTTCAAGATGAGGGCTCTGTCGGCTCCCCCTGGCCGGCTCTCCCAGGCCTGGCCCCAGAACTCTGCTGAATAGAGGCACCCGCCATCTAGCAAGCATAAAGTGTGCTCACCCAAGGCCCAGGGGCCACAAAGAATGCACTGGCACAGCCACTCGCTCTGTTCTATGTTCAGCACCATGTCATGATTTAGGTCAACATGACAAATATTTGGGTACAACCATTTTTGGTTCGCGAACTCCAGGTAGTAACAAGCAGCCCCAGGTAGCGAAGTAGAGCTACTCTAAAGGCAACACTGAGAGAGGTGGCTCCAGAAGGGCAGAGGCCGCCTGATACCCACCTGTCTTTAGAGGCCCCAGGAGAAGTGTCTCCTGAGCAGCAGTGGCCACTGAATACCACTTGGTGGCTTTTCCTTTGAAAGGAATGGAGGGAATTATAGAAGAACTATGATCAGCCGATAGGTCATAGACCATTAAGACTTCCCTGTGTAAGTCAAGTGTGAGGCTGGACTTTAGGTCCATTCATAAACAGATTTCTAGGCACTAGGCTGTCCTCAGGACATGGCTCTCTATTCACTACACTGAATGCATCCTTCTGAGGAAGCAGGCACAGGAGTCAGAGTTGACCAGTCTGAAGTTGAAGTTTTAGAAATATGTGGTCTTCAAAATAATCCGACATTTCATTTGTCTTTTCCAACTGCCTGTAAAGTCACCATATTTGCTTAGCTGGGTCGATCAGATTCTCTCCCTGCCAACTCCCTGCCTCTAGCCACAAGTGCCAGGAGTGGGCAACTGAGCTGAGCTAAGTCAAGCTGCAACACACGGAGGCATCCAGTGACACAATCAACTTTTCTGCCACCTCTTTAGTGATGGCAAGATCTCATCTGGGTCAAGGTCCAATGGTGGCCACAACCCTGCCATCTCTCCCAGCCCATGGCAGAAGGCAGGTCTCCTTTCTTGGGTCCTGGCTTTTTGGTTCACACACAGTTGGGTGACCTCAGGGTCCTGGCTACCCCATGAAAGTCACCTCCTGCAATCACATGCTTTAAACAAACACAACTGAAGCAAAGCTAAGCAGATGACAGGTAAAAGAAGGCAGAAAAGTGCACAGGAGATGAAACACCCCCAAGGAGCAGAGCCAAGTGGGGTGGTCACAGGAAAGGCGTGCATGCCATGAGAGAGGGGGGTATGGTTGCCACGGTGGTTGCCATGGTCTCCATTCTCTGTTCCCTTCAGTATCACATACTAGCCATGGAGGATGGTGTGCCCTCTCGTTTCAAAAGTCCATGCAGAAGGAAGTCACACACGTGCATGCACATACACACATGTGCGCACGCACACACATGCACACATACAAACCCACAGCCTTTACTGTCTTTTCAGATCCCAAACACTGAACTGGTTTTGTTCTCCACCCATAAACCAGAGGCTGTCTGGGCAGGAAGCAGAAGAGAGAACTAGAAATCTATCTGGCCATGTAGATTAGACAAACAACAAATTGGCAGGTTTTTTTTTTTTTTTTTTTTTTTAAAGATAATATCTACCGTTGGCAAATATACAAGAAAATGGTTATTTCTGATAAACTTCTTGTGGGAGGGTGAATGGGGAGGACCTTTCCAGAGGGCAGTGTGCAGCATGTAATAAAATATACATTTCTAGAGTTTTATCTTAAGGATACAATGAAGGACTTGTGCAAATAGTTGGCTCCAAGGGTGTTCACTGCAGCACTATTAAGAGAAGCATGAAACCAGGAGTCACCTAAGTTCTAGCGCCTGAGGACAAGCAGAGGAAGTGCGGATACCTGCAGCCTTAGCAGTGCTGGAAACAGGCTTTGCCTGATCTGAGAAAATTAAGATGTGAAATAGTAGCCTGGAAGTCTGGAAGATAAACTGTCTTTCAATGAATGTGCTCAATAAATTTTTCTCCCAATGCCAGACATTTTTTCAGTTGAAGCACTTCAGAACTGAAAGCAACCCAAAGTGCAATGGTCAATCTGGGAAGTGTACAATAAACACACTTTTTCCTGTGTCTTTAGACTTCTTGGACCCCCTAAAATATATTTACTCTATTTTTCCCAGTTCATTAAACTCACTGCTTTAAATTTAGAGATAACCAACTATATTACCAGAAAATTTACCATATGATTAAAAAACAGGGTGATGTTATGAGAACGCCTGGCCCGTGGCGATGAAGCAGAACAGAAGGTCAAGTGGTGGCGGGTGTGCTCCACATGGTGATTTCTGGGATTTGCATTCCTGAGGTCCTCGCCTCTTCTTTCTCTTATTGATATGTCACTACCTATGATCAGTAAGTAGCCACTACTTTGCTATCCCAAAGAAACAATTTGGATTTAAAGCATCCATGCAAAATAATGTAAAAAAACCCGGAGCACTGGAAAAGCAGGGCTGTGGGGTCAGGAAGTTCCAGCTATGGTGGCTGGTGCTGTCGTAGGAGCTGGGGACAGATCTGGATCCCACCCATCTGGAACCTCACTGTCCAGTGGCTGAGACAGACTTCGTCTGATAATGACCCTGTGCCACTATTGGCCAACCTGGAGGCTCTGGCGTAAAGAAGCTTCTCACATCCCTGGGAGGACAGTGTGAGACAAAGAAACCACCTAGATGTGGGGTGAGGACACCCCTTTCTCCTTAAGACAGTGACAAAAGGCAAGGCACACAGGATGAGCAGATGTCCCCTGAGGAAGGGGGCAGGGGTCACCTTCAAGTGAGCCACGAGGGGCTGGGAGCACGGACAGTGATGCCACCCAGGTGGCACCCTGGCTGGTGGCCCATCCCAGGCACCAGTCTCCTGGGCACAGAATCCTTTTCCAAGTGGGGAAAGAACAAAGAGTTTCCCTGCGGTTTCTTTTCTGTATTTTCTTCAAGTATAAGTAAATCACCCCAGTCCCAGCAGTTGCTCCTCAAGCACCTGTTTTGGTGTTAGGATCCCACTACCCCTGTGTCAGGACTGTGGGTGACACTGTTAGGGCAGGGAAGAGGGGAGTGAGATTTTTGCTTCCTCTAAGGCGACTCCATCCTCAATCCTGAATGGCCTCGAGAGGAGCCAAAATTCCATTAGTTGCCTCAGAGGGACCCTCGGCCGTACCTGCTCCACGAAGGAAGTCCCGACAGGAAGCTCTTCCAGGGAGAACCGGCGCCCATGGTGGGGGCCACAGACCTGCTCTCACCAGACTCACCTTCCAGAGCAGCACAGCCAGCAGTAGGAAGATGAGGATTCCCACTAGCAAACTGATGGCGATGATCCAGCCCACGACGTAGCCACGGGGCTCCAGGTTGTGCAAGGCCTCGAAGACCACCTGGAAGGCAGAGCCAAAGTGAAACAGTTTCCCAGATGGAAGCTCACCTGGGCTTAACATCTGAGCCAACGAAAGAGATGTGTTCAGACTCTTCAGTTGTTCCTAAAATATGGGCTCTGTTGAATAGTTTCCTGGATAGATGGATAGGTTTTTTCACTTGGATCTGAAAAGGCACTTGACATCCAAGCCCCAGTTCTGAAAAGGGTTGTAATGATACACCTGATTTAAATATCCTGCAGTGAACACAAGTTGGTGAAAAACTTAAAGGTATACTATGTTCTTGTGTACATCAGATTACAAGCCTCCCTTTCATGAAGGTTTGTAACAAAGAAGACGTGTCTTCCATAGAAGACAGGGCTTCTACTCTGGGTTTGACTCCATGCATGACTTAGTGATTGGTTGATGAGTGCCAGTGCCTCGTAGAGGGTGGACTCCATGGGGTGGGGGCACAGTCTGCCAGGGGATGCATCGCAGTGCCTGTCACACTGACGCCACTCCCTCAAGGAGTTGTGCTCTGCTTTCCAACTGGAGCCAAATGCAAATGCAGCCATGTCTTGGTTAGGCAAATTTTCACAACTTTGAAAAAATTTTAGGGGGTGGAAGGGAGAGGGAGAGTTAAGAGCAAAGAGGAAAGGAAGCACCATGGATCATGATGGTGGACTAGGGGTGACTTGTGCATAATTGAAGCACACAGCTCACTGAATTTCCACAAGCTGAATGCTAAATGCACCTGGGTAACCAGCATGCAGCTCAAGACATGACTTGACCAGCTTCCCAGGAAAGCTAAAGCCACCCTCCATCAAAGGCAATCACCACCCTGACTTAGAACAGCCTAGATTAGCTTCACCTACTTTTGTCCTCAGTCTAACTAGAATGAATCATCACAAACTACTGCATCTGGCTGAGGTTGCAGCTTGTCTATTCTCATTGCTGCATAGTATTCCATTGTGTGAAATCCCCACAATTTAATTATCCAGTCTATCTGTTTAGAGGCTACTACAAAGTATGATTTACAGGTAATAGGCAATCTTGAAGGAGGAATACTTGGGGTGGGAGGTGGTGGGACAGAAATGACACTGAAATCCGTCCTTTTAGATCCACTACTTTCCATCTGGTTTAAATGAGAGATTCTTATCTTTAAAGACAGATACTAATGTCTTTAGGTTTTTCCCCTTGAAGGCTGTGGATCAAATTACCTCCCACATTCGCAATCTCTATGGCTGAGTGATGCAACCTTGGGCAACCAAGATGCTACAATTAGTTTCCTCCTCTGTGAAATGGGAAAAGGGGAAACAAAGGAGTTTGGTGAAAGTACCAGGCTTGAGGTCCCAGAGTAAAAGTCTGCTAAGCCCTTCTTATTGACGATGAATTGCTGGGCTAAGACCAGCCCTTAACAGTCTCCAGGACACTGCTTGACCCTCGGTGTCTGAAATCTGCATCCTGGCAAAGCCATGCTGGAGGACAGAGACCATAAAGAGTATCTGCTACAGTTTAGTCTATATTCCACAAGAATGCCCTGTCACTTCTGGGAATGTGTGCTTAACCTTTGATTATTTTTATTTATTTATTTATTTATTTTGTTTAGTTTGTTTGTTTGTTTATACATGCACTGGGTACAGTCAGAAGCGCGAGAGGGTGAGAGAATTCACCAGAGCCAGAGCAGGGAGCAGAGCAGGCAGAAGGACCGAAGTACACTGCTGAGGGGAGCAGCGAGCGGCAGGAGAGGTCTGCGCGCCATGTGGGACCCTCCTCTGGTGGCCGGGGAGCAGCCGGGGATAGAACCGGTGCCGCAGAGGCCGCGGGCAGCTTGGCAACCCAGCGCTCAACCGCCGCGCCACCCGGGGAGGCCCACCTTTGATTATTTTTAATGATGCTGCTCATCTTGGCCGTGTGCTTAATGCTCTAGCAGAGCTGATTCCTGCACATCACTATTTTAATAAACTCACTTGTAGGGGATGATCTGAGCATCCTGTTGCTCTGAGAAGGCACATCTTAGACAAAAATGCAACGGGGGGAACACAGCAGGGACTACATGCAGAGTCAAGAAGTCCTGACAACCAGGGCTTGGCTTCACCACCAATGAGTTGGAAGTTCCTGGTGAAGCTCCTGACCTGCTCAAAATTTCTTTTCTTTCCATCCTCTGGTTCCCATCCCTAGTTATGCCCCAGTTCAGGCTCACTCTCCTCTCAGCAGTGCTATTTCAGGAGCCTCAGAGATGCCTCCTTGCAGTAAGAGTTGTCTTTCTAGAACACAGGTCTTATCATGTCACTTTTCTGTCGAGTGTTCCTTTATATTGAATACAGTCATGTGGTACTTAATGATGGGGATATGTTTTGAGAAATGTGTTAGGTGATTTTGTTACTGTGCCAGTATCAAAGAGAGAAATTGCACAAAGTGAGATAGTGCAGCCTCCCGCACATGTAGGCTACACCATCAGGACCACCTCTATATGTCTGGGGTATGGCTGACCAGCATGCTGTTAAGCGACACATGGCTGTATACAGTTCACAGTACCAGGCTCCTTTCAATCTAGTCTCTTCCCAGCCCCCTGGAGCACCAGTGAGCCAATGAGAGTCCTCTCCCCTTATGAGACCTGTGGTCACCAACCTCTCAGCAGGCTGCTCTTGACACCTAGAAGGTTCATTTTTGTCTACTTCACAAACTCCAATGTTGCTCATCTTAAAAATATTCACACACTTCAATCCAGTCATTCTGAATTGAAAATTTACTCAGTCCAGAAACATAAAATACAGAAAAAATTTTATATTCAAAGATGTTCTCTGCAGAATTATTTGCATTAGTGCAGAATTAGAAATAGCTTAAATGTTTGACAATAGAGCAAGAAAGAAGTAAATCATAGTCAATCACAAAGTGGAGTACTATAGAGTTATTAAAAATGATAATAATAAATCTGGCTGTCAAGGTATAATTTTCAAAAACTTTAAAACCAAACTCACACAAATATACAGCAAATACACGTGAAAGATTTATTTAATTCATTATCAAGGGTATCAGCAGGATGGCAAAACTAATTCAAAGAAGGATCTCAATCTTGATGAGGATCTGAATATGTCTATACATACACATACACATACACACACACACACACACACACACACACACGATGAATGCTGAAATCAGATACAAAACTGGCTCTACCCTGCAGGGAAATAGGCAGGGATTATATTTTCTGCCAGACCGCAATTATTTTCATCTTTACTGGCAAAGGTTATTTATAACTTATCAGGCTTCTATAAATTTATATATAATTTCACAGAATCTGGACTATAGACTTAGGCGGGACTGTCTAACCAGTGCTTTTCTCAAACTTTAATGTGTAAGGATCACATGAGGAATCCTGTTATAACGTGGATTCCGAACCAGTGAGTCCAATTCATTTCTGAACCTGAACTGATTCAGAATCTGAATCAGTTGGGGCCTGAGGTTACATTTCAAATAAGCCCCTGATGTTGCTGGTTCAAGGACTGCACTTTTTGAGAGAAAGGGGCTAAGAATGTTCCAGTATGCTACTGAATGAACACACAGCCATCTTTTGCCTGATTCATAAGTTTTACATCCTTTTACAAACATGTTAATAAAATGGAGAAATGATACATATTATTAAAAGAAGCAGAATGACAGTTTAATATCTAGACTTCAGTTTCATAGAAAATGGTAGAAAAATTTAAATAGGTGGTTTCTGACATTATGAACATTATTTTTCTATTTTCTATTAAAATACTTAAAAATATAAGCATTTTAAAGCCAACTTAAAAAAAATTTGAAAAGAGAGACTCTGCTCCAACATCTCTTCTAAGACGCCTGGCCCACTCTTTCCCTTCTCAGCAGAATGAATCATTCTCTGAGCTTTTTTCCTCTTTCAGCAGAGGAAATCATCTCCAGTGCCCCAGTGCAAAGAACAGAGCAAGTGGAGATTCTCTGGCTGTAAAGAAGGTGGGCAGCCATAGTCCCACCTACTCACACCCCCTTCCCAAGCCTACCTCTCCCTCCCCCAGTTCCAGCTGCCCAGGGCCACTACAAAGGAACCAGGACTCCACAAAGTTTAGTTTTAAAACCATAGCTGAGTACTTCAGAGTCCCAGCTCTAGGTCCTTCCTCTGTGAGGTAGCGAGATATCAGGATCTTCCTGCCTGTGACATCAGGATACTGTGAATTCTGACAGAGCAGAGGTTTGAATGAAAGTTTTCCTGTCACCTAAACCAAGGGAGTGATTCATTTTGATGCTCAAATGTACAAATTAATAAATTCAATGTCCTTCCTGCTATAATCTTAGATGAAGCATGAATATGATTCAGTCTGCAATAAAAAAGATGATCGGATTTGAAGCTGGAGTCCTCGGTATGTATCTCTTCTCTCTACTTCAAAAATATACTTGTAAATGCTATTTCTTTTGGAAAAGTCCTGTCCAACTATCAGTCTGTTTGTCTGTCCATCTATCTATCCACCCACCCATCCACTCAAGAGTCTATCCATGCATTCAACAAATGTGTATGTAGCACCACTATATGCCAGGCACTGTGTGGTTCACTGATGAATAGAACAGGTAGCCTTTGCCTCATGAAACTTCTAGTTTGTTAATAATACCGGCCAATTAGGTAAATAAATGCAAAATTATAAGTCTGGGGAGTTCCCCCAAGATAAGAATAATTCTGAGATAGGCATGGCAGTCAGAATGAGTTCCTTGAGGAAGTGTTTGAGCTATGGATTAATGCATAAGAAGGTAACCAGTCAAAAAGTTTGAGGGAACATCATTCCAAGGAGAAGGAACAGCATGTGCAAAACCCCTGTCAGGAGTGAGCTTCACAGGAGTGAAAAATTGGCAGCAGACAGAAAGAACAAGAAGCAAAAGGAAGATATTCAGGATAAGGCTGGTGAGACAGGAGGTGGGGGAGGCCATGTTAAGAATGATGTGCTTTATCGTAAGACAAATGGGAATCCAGGACAGTGTCACGATTGGTTATTTTGCAAAAATAACCTGCA